TGCTTCCCCCTGAAGGGCATAAGTTGGAAAAAGTTGTAATACTGGGCTGTGGCTGTCCTTACCACCAGTAAGTTGGCTGTTCTTTTCTCTTACCCCACACTGTACTGCTGCAGTAACCCCAAGGGCTCACTGATGCCTGTCAGACTCCCTTTCATATGCATGTGGTTCTGATTAGCTGCTTAGTGTTATGAAATCACCCACCCAGATTAATGCATGTGATTTTGTCTCTCCACCTGACTGGTGATATCATTTCATTCACTGCTTTTTTACAATTCCTTTGTTTTATACAAATTACCAACAGAGATGACAAAGACAATATTGGTAATTTTCTGTTAGGTTGAAAGAATAGAAGGAATATGAGGTCTATTCTACCTCAAAGAGTAGAAGTGAAAATGATTGAGTGAGGGAAGGAAAGAATGCAACATTTAATTGGAAGGATAATTAAAGAGCTGAAGGAAGGAACTGATAAGTGGAATTAAGGTTGAAAAGGTATGAAAACAAGGTTATAGAAATAGAATAACGTACTTAGTCTTAATGCTTTAAATTGTTGCTTCTGTTGAATATTTGATATCTTAATGATTCTTTAAGATATATTTTTATATTGCCTAGCTTAGTAAGTTCTGATATAGGCCATCTAATTAAAGTGTTTCCTCCTTGCCCCCCCGCTTTATGGAAAATTAATAGACAGTAGGTTGCTTGTATTTACATTGTACAGTTCAATGAGTTTTTTTTTCCAATTATAGTTGGCATACAATAATATGTTTTTCAGTTGTACAGTATAGTGGATAGAGATCTATATAACTCACAAAGTGATCACCCCACTAAATCTAGTATCCATCTTCCGCCTACATATTTATTAGGACATTATTAAATATTTTCCTTATGCTGCACTTTATATCTCCATTTCTATTTCATAATTATCCATTTGTACTTCTTAATCCCTTTGCCCTTTTTCACCGTCCCCCCACAACCCCTTTCCCATTTAGTAGCCCTCAAAATATTCTCTGTATCTATGAGTTTGTTTCCATTTTTATTGTTGTTTGTTTCATTCTTTAGATTCCACATGTCCATGAAATCATGTGATATTTGTCTTTATCTGACTGCTTCATTCATCACGATACCCTCTAGGTCCATCAACACAATATCTTTTTCTATCCCCTTCCTTTTAGTCTATATGTGTCTTTTAATCTGAAGTGACTCTTTTATGGGCAGCATATATAGGAGTCTTGTTTTCTTATCCATTCAGCCACCCCATCTTTTGTTTGGAGCACTTAATTCTTTTCCATTTGAGATACTTGTTGATAGGAATGTATTCATGCTTTTGAAACACATCTTTTCTTCGTAAAGAACCCCTCTAAAATTTCCTGTAATACTGGCTTGGTGTTGATAAAACTACCAGCCAAGAATAATGTAACCTGCTAAGCTCTCCTTTAGAAATGAAGGAGAAATAAAGACCTTTCCAGACATACAAAAATTGAGGGAATTCTCCACTACAAGGCCTGTACAACAAGAAATTCTGAAAGAGGTCAGCTCACCTACAACAAAAGGACCAAAAAACCCCCCAAAAACAAAAAAAACCCATAATTAAGAGTAAGGTCACTAGCAGGCCGATAAAAGCAGAGAAGTACAACCCTTACTACGATCAGGGCATTATAAGCTTAAAATAAGAAGAGATTTGCTATAGCAAGATAGTAATGAACGTTCAGCATACAGAGGGACAAATTGAGACAACAATGACAAAAGGGGAAGATTCAAAGATCCAAATTCGCAAGAGGGAATGGAAATAAGGCACACGCAGAAAAAAGGACTACTGTATATATACAACTATCCGTTTCATATTCGTAATGATAACCACAGGCCAGAGATTTAGAACCAAAGTATATAACATAAAACAAGAAGGACCAGAGGGAAAACCCACAAAAACCAACCAAAATAAAGAAAACAGAAACCCAAGGACAAGGAAGCAATGGAAACACCGAGCTACCAGAAAGCAAAAGATAAAATGACTATAAGAAGACCTCATATTTCAGTAATCACCCTAAATGTTAATAGACTGAACTCACCACTGAAAAGCACAGAGTGCAGAATGGATCAAAAAACAAAACCCAACCATATGCTACCTCCAGGAGACACATCTCAGTTCCAAAGACAAATACAGACTCAGTGAAAGGGTGGAAAATGATATTTCAAGCAAATGGCATTCAAGAAAAGCGAGGGTAGCGGTACTAATATCGTATGAAATAGACTTCAAAATAAAAAAGGTAAAGATAGATACTGAGGGACGCTTCATAATGATAAAGAGAATCATGCACCAAGAAGACATAGCACTTATTAATATCTATGCTCCCAATCAGGGAGCCCCAAAATATGTAAAGCAAATACTAACAGAACTAAAGGGAGAAACAGACCAAAACAGTATCGTAGTAGGGGACCTAAATACCCCACTGTCAGATAGGGACGATCATCCAAACAGAAAATTAATAAGGAAATAACATCCTTAAATGACACATTAGACCAGCTGGACATACTTGACATTTACAGAGCCTTCCATCCCAAAGCAGCTGCTATACATTCTTCTCTAGTGCACATGGAACAGTCTCAAAGATTGATCACATACTGGGACACAGAGATAGGCTCAACAGATACGAGGGTTGAAATCATACCAGTCATATTCTCTGATCATAATGCTTTGAAACTAAAGATCAACTGTAAAAAGAAAGTGGAAAGAATCACAAATAAGTAGAGATTAAACAACATACTACTGAAGAATGACTGGGTCAGAGTAGAAATAAAAAAATAGATCAAGAGATATATAGAAATGAATGATGATAGTACAACATATCAAAACTTTTGGGACACGGCAAAAGCAGTCATAAGAGGAAAATTCATATCATTACAGGCCTACCTCCAAAAACAAAAACAAACCCAAATAAACAACCTAATGCTTCATCTTCAAAAACTAGAAAAGGAAGAACAAATGAAGCCTAAAGTCAGCAGAAGGAAAGAAATAATCAAAATTAGAGCAGAAATAAATGAAATTGAAAACAAAAAAAA